CTCTCTCTCTCTCTCTCTCTCTCTCTCTCTCTCTCTCTCTCTCTCTCTCTCTCTCTCTCTCTCTCTCTCTCTCTCTCTCTCTCTCTCTCTCTCTCTCTCTCTCTCTCCTTTTTTCGTACGAATTTACTTGGATCGGTGGCAACGCGTGACGCGACGGCGGAAAATGTTTCCTCGACTCACGTGTGTCTCCTTATCTCCTCCGACGACGTGTTCGAACCTTTTTCATTCGAGTGGGAAACGAAAAATCCAAAAATCATCTTCTCTCACCTTTCCTTTCCGTTCGTCTCATTGTCCCTTTGCCGAACGAACGAACGAAGGGGGGAAAAAAGAAATACGTCGCCGATACATCGATGCGTTACATCGATGCCCGGGAAATTGGCAAACGAGCGATCATCGTCGCGAGTGACGAAACGTGTGTTCTCGAGTGGTGCACGAAATTTTCACTCGTGCTCCGCACGAAGTTTTCTCGTTCTCTCGTAGAATGCTTGTTCGTGCGTCGTAATAATCCTTGGATTACTACGATACTAATAGTTGCATGCTCGTATCTTCGACGAGTTCTCGTCGATCATCATCGACGAATGTCATCGCGAATTATTTTATATATATATGTATATATATATATGTATGCGTATTATATGTGGAAGGAGAGACCGCGCGTACTTTACTACCACGGTCTTTTCTGAACGTCGGTGACAAAACGTGAACGGTGTCCGGCATGAAGATAGAGTTTTTTTTTTTCTTTTTTGAATTGCAGCTTCGAGCGGGAGACGCGTTGCAGCAAGAGATTCCCGCGCAGGAGAGGAAGACTGGACAAAGCGGAAGAAGCAGAATAAGACGAGCAAAGCAGAAGAAGCGGTGGAACGCAGGAGTAATAGAAGAGCGAAAGCGAGACGCGTAGAAGCGGGGTTGCGACGGAAGTGATTCGATAGCGGATAGAGAAAGAAGAGAGAGAGAGAGAGAGAGAGAGAGAGAGAAGAGAGGAGAGAAGAGAGAGCAGAGGGAAAGAGTGCGTGGAAAAAAGAAAGGGAAGAACGAGAGAGAAGAGGAAGAAGAGGAGGAGGAATAAGATCCGAAGAAGAGGAGGAGGAAGAAGAAGAAGAAGAAGAAGAAGAAGAAGAAGAAGAAAGTGTGAAAGAAGCGAGTGAGAAATCGAAGAAGAAGAAGAAGAAGAAGCAGCTCGTTAGAGAAGAACCTCGCGCCGCATACATATATATTTCAGTGTGTTCAAAAAACGAGTGTACCTAAGTGCAATATTATTAAACCTAAACGATAATAAGAAGCAACCACAACTACCATCGACGATATCGGTAACGACGAGCGGTTAATCGATAATCGAAATAGAATTCCTTTTAAAGAGTTAAAAAAAAAAATAATACCCTAGAGTCGCATTTCGAGGAGCAGTCGTGAACAGACGCGAAAAAAAAAAGTAGAGGAGGAAAAAAATAGAAAAAGGAAACGAAGGATCGACGCGAAGATAGAAGAAGAAGAAGAAGAAGAAGAAGAAGAAGAACGAGAAGAAGAAATAAATTCGAATGTCGTCGAAATATTCGAGATTCGATATCGGTGTCACGTTATATAATATACACGGCGAGTGAACGAAATCCCGACGAGGAGGTGAAAAAAACTGCCGTCCCGGTTCAAAGAATATCATCATCTCACACGACGACGTATCGCACGGCCGACGCGCGAGTCCCTTTTCCTCAAACCGTTTCGACGGAGAAAGAAAGGAAGACAGACAGATAGACAGACAGAGAGAGAGAGAGAGAGAGATAGAGAGAGGAAAAGAGGAAGGAAGGAAAAAAGGCTTGCACGTTCGCAATACACGCACGCACACACACGCACACACACGCACAACGACATTACGGGGCTACTAACTTACTCAGGGCAAAACGGGACGAGCAGTGTCATCCGCGAGTGCGATTTCTCTCACCCGGCGGACACCGGACCAACCAGCATCTTCTTCATTCTCATTGTGATTCGTCCTCGACCAACGATCGTGAGTTTCGCGTCTGCACGGACTGTCCTTCCTCGTTCACACCGTCCGGGCTGGGCAATCCTGAATTTTAACCTGAACTTAAGTGTATATGATAGACTTTAAGTTAGATAGAACAAAGAAATAGGGTGTTCTCCGCTCCGCACGGAGGACGTCCATTCGCGCGCGCATCGATTCATCGGGCACATACACACACACGAACGCACGCAAACACACGCGCACGACACGCGAGCGCGCACACACACACACACACGCACACACGCACACACACCCACCCACACACGTGTACGCGTATATACAAACACGACGCACGTATCAACGCAAATGCAGACCGGAGGAACGAGAAGAGGGAGGAGGAGCTGAAGAGAGAGAGCGAGAGAGAGGGAGAGGGAAGAACGAGACGAGACTCGGAAGAAGCATCGTACCATCGGATACGCGACGCGCGTACGACGATCTTTTTGGATCATCGAGTGTTACGGGAGTTACGGGAAAGAGAATCGAGAAAAAGGGCAAAGGGGAAGAAGAAGAAGGAGGAGGAGGAGGAGGAGGAGGAGGAAGAGGAAGAGGAGGAGGAAGACCGAACAGGGGAAGAGGAAGAGGAAGAGGAAAAAGAAGAGGACGAAGAGGAGGAGGAGGAGGAGGAGAAAGAGGAGGAGGAGGAGGAGAAGAAGGGTGGATCATCGTCAACGGGCGGTGTTGGCTAATAAGACGAGGAACGAAGAAGGAAGGGGCGGGAGGAAGGAGGCCGAGGGCAAGTACCGAGTCGGAGTGAGAAGCGGCGGGAGAAGAAGAAGAGGTAAGAAAAAAAGAGGGAAGAGGTGTATCGAGGGAAAGAGTTTCATGAGCCAAGAAGTAGCGAGAAGCAGGAGGAGCAGCAGCAGCAGCAGCAGCAACAGCAGAAGCAGCAGCAGGCCCGGCAAGTCGAAGCAGGTGGCGAGTAACTGACGTTGCCCGCCGCCCACGTCGAGCCGAGGATCGTTGTCCTTAAGGCGGTAAGGATTCTGGGCTGAACGGAAGAAGGGAAGAAGAAGAAGAGGAGGAGGAGGAGGAGAAGGAAGAAGGAAAGAGAGAGAGAGAGAGAGAGAGAGCGCGCGGTAAGGATAGAGAGGAGAGGAGGAAGGTAGGAAGGAACGGCGGCGAGCGCGGAAGTGTGCCGGCCGTCGAGCTGCTTACCGGAAGGGGTGCGAAAAAGCGGGCAAGCTGCGCCGGAAGGGGGTAGCCCGGGCTTCTCGCGAAGGCCTCAAAATTTCGGACGCGACGGCGGCCCTGGACCTACGTGCCCAGTCGCAAACCCAACCCGACTTTGGCTTGGACCACCACCAGCAACAGCATCACCATCAACAACAGCAACAACAACATCAGCAGCAGCAGCAACAACAGCAGCAGCATCAGCAGCAACAACAACATCACCAACAACCGCAGCCGCAGCAGCAGCCGCAGCAGCAACAACAACCACCGCCGCAGCAGCAGCAGCAGCATCATCATCATCATCATCATCACCACCACCATCACCCGCAGCAGCAACAGGGCCAAAATCCAGACTCGCGAAATCCACCACACCATCACCTTCAACAGCATCATCATCCCGGGAATCATCTCCACTCTGGCGATTCGGGGGGTGGGATAGGAGGTGGAGGAGGTGGCGGTGGAGCCGGTGGAGGTGGCGGTGGAGGTGGCGGAAGTGGCGGCGGTGCAAGTGGCGGTGGTGTTGCTGGTGTTGCTGGAGGGGGAACGGCCGAGGGTGACAGGTCGGGCAGGATCCACGACGAGGACGACGAGGACATCACCGAGAGGGAGGACGAGGAGGAAGACGAGGATCCTTGCAGCTCGCCCGAACCGGACCTCGAAAACGAGCCGGAACCAATGGAGGTCCAAGCGTCGGCCGTCACTGCGGCGGCCGCCAATCTTCACGCGCTCCGGCAACATGTATTCAAAATGTCCGACTATTGGCAACAACCTCAACGGGGCCCGCCCCAACAGTCGCCCGGTATACAGCACAGCCCTATCTCGAACGCGACCCAACAGCACCAACAGCAGGTGCAGCAACAGTTGCACAGCCCGCTCAGCCAGCAGCAGCAACAACAGCAACAGCAGCAGGCGGTGCAACAGGCAAACGCCAATTCGGGGCTAGGGCAGACGACCAGCCCCCAGATGCAACAACAGCAGCAGCAACAACAACAGCACGCCATGTCGATCGGGCAGCAAACGGGTCAAGGGGGGCAGCATCAATCGTCCCCCGTGTCCACCACACCCTCGCCGCAGGCGGATCACCAGGGTGCCATCGCGTCTAGCATGGCCCAGAGTCTTCACAGCCTGGCACAGGCGCAACAGACAATGTCCCAGGCCTCGAGCCCGTCGCTGGCCGTGCAAGCGGTCCAAGCGGCGCAGGCTCTCAATCAAAACTTGGGCCAAGCGTTGACACAGGCGTTGACGCAGAACATGCAACAAAACCTAGGACAAACTTTGCAGCACAATCTCGCGCAAAGCCTCACCCCGAGCTTGTCGCCTCAGCAACAGCAACAGTTGCTCAACCAGCCGCAGAATCTGAGCCAGGCCAGTCAAAATCTTCAACAAAACATCCAGAGCCAGGCGCAGAATTTGTCGCAAACGTTGCAGCAACAGGCTCAAAATTTGACCCAGAACCTCGGCCAGAGTTTAAGCCAACAGGCGCTGCAACAACAGGCGGCGCAAAACCTCACGCAAAATTTGCAACAACAGGCGCAAAATTTGACCCAGAATCTGCAACAACAGGCGCAAAACCTGACGCAGAATCTGCAACAACAGGCGCTCAACATGGCCGGCAGCATCGCTCAGAACGGTGCCCTCGCGGGGATGAACATGTCGGCCAGTCAGCAACAAAATTCTCAAAACTCGATGCTGAGTCCGGGCGCGACGAGCCAGGACTCACACGACGCCAGCCTCACGGAAAAACTCGTCAACGAGCTGCAGGTGAGACACGACGTAACGTTAATTATTATTTAAATATCCGATCTCGAGACGGACGACAGAACGAGCAGAACGAACGTTCTCCGACGCTCGTTCTCTCTTCTCTTTTACTTTTGCCCTCCCCTTCTCCCCAATTCTTTTCCATTTTTTTCTCTTGTTTTTTTTTTTTTTTTTTTTTTTTCTTTTATTTTCTCGATCCGTCGCACTTCTCTCCGCCCGTAAGCTGCGAAGAGAAGAGATAAATAACTGGGACGAGGCAACCGCGATAAAAGTGCATAATGCGCCGATAAATAGGGTCATTCACTTGAGCCGACTGACGCCGGACAATACTTTCAAACAGTTTCTACCGATGGAGAAAAATACGCGTCTCCTCTTTCGATCTCACGCATCTCTTTTATTCTCTCGCACGCTCGTTCCGCTTTCGATAACGACCGCGAAAATAACCACGCTAATGATTCTCTCTCTCTCGAACGATTCTACACACTCGTTCCCCGGCGCAAACTGGAAAATGTCGGGTCGCGTCGAAAGTTAACGCGTCGAGAGGCACGAATCGTTTCGAATCCTAAACTCGTCCAATCTTTTTCCTTTTTTCCCCGGATTCGATCGAACAGAAAGAAAAAAAGGAAAGGAAGAAAGAAAGAAAGAAAGAAAGAAAGAGAGAAAGAAAGAGAGAAAAGAAGAGACGCGAATAATCGGCAGGTTAAGAGGACCTCCTCCCCCCACCCCGTCCGGTATCGGCTTAACTGGATGACTTTCAATAAATCGCGCTACATCGTCGACAATTTCGCTGACCGTTTGAATCTGCGACTGTACCGAGATACACTGACCATGGTTCACGCACATCGGAACACGTTGACTTACCACATCTCGGCGTACCGACCGTATATACACGTATATACTCCGCGTGTTACGTGGAACGAGCAAGAGAGGGAGAGTGAGAGAGAGGGAGCGAGAGGGGGAGCGTAAGAGAGAGTGAACGTTGCGCGCGAGATCGCGCGCGCGAGCGCGCTCCAGCTAGAAGGCAGGCAGGCAGGCAAGCAGGCAGTCAGGCTGGCAAGCCAAGCAAGCGAGCGAGCGAGCGAGCGAGCGAGCAACCAGCCAGCCAGCCAGCCAGCCAGCCAGTCAGCCAGCCACGCACACATTAGAGTCACGGGGCCACAAATGCAAACGCGGCCCACGCACACCGATGCGAGGAGATGCAGATACGTCGTCTCTCGGGGTTCTTGACCCGCGCAACACAGATAATACTATACGCATACGTCATACGGTACGCCGAGAAGATGTTCTCGAGAAAATATCGCGGCGTGCTTCTGCGATGCCACAGTCCGCGAGCTTCGATACGAGGAAACTAAGTAAATATATCCCCGCAGATCCGCTTCGGTCTCACCGCTAATAGGAATCCGAAACCTTTTTCGCTCACGGCCATTATATACACACGCGAGCACGCGACACGCACGCACGCACACGCACACACACACACACGCGCGCGCGCGCGCGCGCACACATACGGGGCAACGGTGAATTCGTCGCAACGGGCAGATTTTACGATACGTATACGCCATCCATTTCACGGACCGAAGGATGACTAAGGATGACGATGGACGATAAATGGCGGAGGAAAAAGTTGAACGACTTCGGTCGCACGAAGAGCGCGAAGACGCGCGACTCGAGTGTCCATGTCACTCTTTTATGTCAACGCGGATGATTCTTTTTTTTTTTCTTCTTTCTTTTTTTCCCCTCCTCCTTTGAATCACCAAGTTTCGACAAGTTTCCAATTTCTTTCTTTCTTTCTTTCTTTCTTTCTTTTCTTCTTTCCTTTTTCTTAGATCGTTTCGATCAAACTTTTTTATCATGTTATTAAAAGCGCCTTGTCGTCGATCCTTGTCGGTTCGAGGAAGAAAGTGATTTTTGCGTAGTGTTGGCGGAGTAAAGAAAAAAAAAAAAAAAAGAAAAAAAAAGAAAAAAGAGAAAAGTGGTGAACTAACACGAGCCTCCTGTCTTGCCCGATAGTCTCGTGCCTCTGCGGCGGGACTTGGAGGTGCGGGAGGCGCCGGCGGAGGCGGAGGAATGGGCAACATCAGCGAACGCACCCTCGAGGAATGCTGGTCCACCCTGCAACGAGTGAGTTGAACACTCAGCCCGTTCAAAATCCCCTTATTATTTCTCCTCGTCGCACACAGCTTCCTGCAACTTCTCTCGCTATTATTTTTTTTCTCTCTCTCTTCGTTTTTTTTCCTTTTTTTTTATTTTTTCTTTTTTTCTTTTTTACTTTTCCGAATTCGCGAATTCGTCGCTCGTCGCGATTCTCTTTCTTTCAACGTGCAACGTGTGTCTAATTTTCTTCTTTTCTTTTTCTTTTTTTTTTTATTTTCTTCCATTCCACACGCGTAATTATAATACGCATCTTACAATCGTTGTTTCCTCTCCGGCGATCTTTCGATCTCGCACACGTTAATTCGCACGTTAATTCGTACGTGATTATTTTTTTCGTTCTTCTTTCTTTCTTCTTCTTCTTCTTCTTCTTCTTCTTCTTCTTCTTCGTCTCGAAGGAGACGAATCAATCCCACGAGGGATCCGTTCGCATCGTTTTATTTTTTTCTCCCCATATTTTTTTTTTTCTCGTTACTTATCGCACAATTTCTTTATCGCAGCTCTAGCATGCTCTACGTGCGTGTATGCGCTTCTTCTTCTTCTTCTTCGCAGACATTTGTTTTTTTCCTCTCTTAATATCAAAAAAAAAAAAACCGCTTCAAGGCTAAGAAGAATCGTTCCTGCGAACGATAAACTGCTCAACGACAACTCTCGTTGAACGATCGTCGATGAATTTACGTTTGACCGCCGTGGCGGTTCGAGATCGATCCACGCGCGTAACCATCGATTACGATTTACGACCAGCGAACGAGACCGAGACGACGATTTTATTTTCTTTTTTTTTTTCTACCGATAATGCGGAGCGTGTAATAGGTAGATGATCGAACAACGTTACATATAATACTATATATATATATATATATATATATATATATATATATATATATCTCGCGAGACAA